AACATCTTTCTACATATTGATGGCCTTCTCCCAGACTATGCTCTTCCTGTTATGGCAATAAACATATAAAAAATTGAAAGCAACAATTTGAAATAACACTATTAAGAGATTATTAAGAGTAAAAATTGCAGTGGAATTTAACCTGAAACTATGTTATTTTTTATTTTCTCAGCTACTTTGACCTTTCTTCTTTATAAGACCCTGCATGGTGGACTGTGCTGCTGGACTCTGGTCAGTCTCCTCCTTGATTCTTTCCATGATGGCAATAAACTTAAAAAAAAAAAGATTTTGGAAAGAAAAATTTTGAAATAGAATTGGAAAGAGGAGGAGTAAAAAGTGCTGTGGCAGTTAACTTTAAAATAACTTATGCCGTTGCATAATTGTAGCAGATTCCAACATGTCAGCTTGAATTTTAAATCTCTTTATTTGGGGTTTGTATGGCTGTAAAACAAAATGGTTTGGTGCAAAAATTATTTTTAAACTTCTTTTAGAAATTTGTGTGAAACTCTGTTTCAGCCATATCTATAAATAGATCAACATATGCATAGCCAGCCAGGCCTTGTCAAGCTAAATTCCTGGGATTTTCATAAATCAGAGAAACAACAAGCTGCAACAGTTGCTGAGGACTTCTGGGTGTAGCATTGCTTTAGGAAAAAAAATCCATTATAGGAAATACAGTATCTGCAGTTATATATAATAAATAAATGAATGTATGCATTAATGAATTGATGAATACATGAATGAAGACAATGGATAGACAAAAACACATGTGATTAAGATTAATTTAATTAATAATTCAGGGATAATGTTATTATCACAGATAGCAGAAATAAAGGAATAGCTGAGTTATTTGGCAGCATATTTTACAGCTTAAGCCTTAAAGATGATTTATGGTGAGCTATGTCTCTGGGCATAGCTCACTATGCCCACATCATGACTCATCATCATGATTGGTTGGGAAATTCTCAAGATGGTTCTCATTTGCTTCCACGTGTTCTGCACGTCCACCTGTTCAACAAAACATTTTCATTATATCATGTTTCTATAATGGAACTCTACTTAAAAACTAATGGTTATAAAGGATTATTGTAAAAAAGAAAAAAAATGTGCAAGTTCTCTTATCACTTTTATCCAATAGTGTCTGTAGTAACTACAGGATGTGTTTCTAGAGCCAGGTAAATAAAGCATTATTAGTAGAACAGCTCTCCCCAAACATTACTTTTGTCAGAAATGTTTTATTTGTACTTTGATGCTGCCTCTCAGCCTATGAACAGAGGGGGTGGTGCATTGGTCAGCATCAGGAACAATTATATCTATTTTTGTAGTTATTTCTAACTTTTTATTTGGAAATCTTTCATTTTTATAATCTCACTTAAAACAAATCTTGTTTTCTTTGTACTAATGTAGCCTTCTTAAAAAGGAAAAAAGGTTGAAAGTTTAAAATGTGCAGTTGTACTTTTTTTTTTCTTTTTCTTACTATGAATATTATTTACTGTCCATATGGTTTCAAAGAGTAAACTTTAGGAGATATATAGTTATTACTAAAGTCAGCTAACATATGTCAAATTCTATTCAAATATATATATATATATATATATATATATTTTAGATAAATCATATCATAATAAGTATAGAAGTTCGATCACTGCCATTAACTCAGAATTGAGATTTAATAAAAAAAATTGGAGTGATGAGAACTACCAAGATTTATTGAGAATGTAGCACAATCAGATGCACAGAAGGATCAATAAAATCTTACAAAGATCTCTGTTCTTTATTGTAAGGAGCAGGGCTAAGAATCCTGGAGATTAAGTGATCATTATTGCTCTGTCTAGCATTATATTAGAGGGTATAAGTGTTTAATTCTGGCTACTTTTCACCATGAATCTGTGGTTAGTGCAGCTGTTATCCTGTTGGGTACAGCATCCCCCCCGGTCCCTTCTAAGGCTGTAGACTTAGAACAAACACTCCTTTGATTAAAACTAAAAAAGATCACATTGTTCTTGTGTACAGTGAGGTTGCATTACTATTTCATCAAATTAATTTATAGGGAACATCTGAAAATTTTTCTGGTAATTTCAGTGTAACATTTTCTGGAAGAGGTAGACTGTGTATTTGTTTCTCTGTCAAACATCTTTCCTTGGACAGAAAGTTCCATCACTAGGTTGTGTTTTTCTTTTAAATGGACCGATTTGGACGGTCACTTTATTTAAACATTGTAAAATCCAACAGCTGTCCAGACTTACGGCAATTTGGTTAGCAACAATGTGTAATTATCACTTATATTTGTGAAGTAATGGTCATTTGCGGTCTGAAAAACACTTATAATACTGAGACTTTAAAGTGAGCATTCCTTTATTTATAGTAAAGCTAATTAGGAACAATGAGTCACTCCTACTACTCTCAAATTCAGAAGTTGGTGGTAAGGAATTCTTAAAAGTGGAAAAATCTGATCAAGAAGAGCTGTAACTTTATTGGTTTTTCAGTATGTGGGTGACATTATAAATAATATATAAATTATAAAAACCCTTTCACTTTAGTAAAAAGAACAAAAAGAAAACATTTACTATTTTTTATTGGATTTCAGAACATTTTAGAAGATTAGAACCTGTTTTTAATTTATGTAAAGAAATTTGAAACATTTAACACTTTTTTTTAAGTGGAATTGGTTCCCATGGTTTAGAAAGTAAAGAAGAACCGATGAAGCAAATATAACCAAGAAATGCTGTGGCAGCCCAATTTCAATAACATGGGCTAACAGTGGGCACAGTTTGCACGGTTGCCTTGCAGCAAAAAGGTCCTCGTTTTGATCCCCAGCCTAAGGTTTTTCTGCATGGAGTTTGTATATTCTCTCTGTCAATGTGTGGGTTCTTTCCGGATACTCTGGCTTTCTCCCAAAGTCCCAAGAACATGAGTAAGCTTAATTGGTGTCTCAAATTGTCCTTGGTTGTGATTGCGTTTGTGAATGTGTTGTCCTGCGATGGACTGGCGACCTGTCCAGGGTGTACCCCGCCTCTCGCCCATTGACTGTTGGAGATAGGCACAGCACCCCTTGCGACCCCACTTGGGATTAAGCGTGTTTGAAGATGGATGGATGGATGGATGGATATATGGATGGATGGATGGATGTGATTGTGTTAGTGAATGTGTTGCTGTGCAATGGACTGGCGCTCTGTCCAGGGTGTGTCCTGTCTTTCGCCCATAGACTGATAGAGATAGGCACCAGCCCGATTAAGCGGCAAAAGATTGATGGAGGGACTAAACTGTAAATTTCCTATGCAATAATTTAGCATATTTAAATTTTAATTTTGAGAAGTCTTAACTACGATAAAGGTATTTCCACTGTATACTATAAAGTAAATACTATTTGATTATTCAGTTGGTTAAACTAATGTAGGTCTACTGTATAGGTTTTCTCTACAAATAAAGCTCTGGTTAGCATAGCCTAAAATACCTAGTTCACTGTACTTATTTCAGTAAATGCAAAATAAAAATTTTTTTTAAAAAAACAACATAATGTTTTTTTTTTACAATTTTTTTCTTTCTTTTTTTTTACAGATTTTACATTGAAACAGGCAACTGATAAATGAAATAATGTAAATTTTGTTACTTACACTTCGTTTTAGCTCCTACACAAAAAATGATTACCGGTACGCCAATGCAGACAAGTTGTAAGACCAATAGTAAGACACCCAAAGCAATACACACTTCATGTGAACAGCAATGGGACAATTCTGTAAAAAAGAAGAGATATATTGTATCAGGGTTTTTTTTATGTCAACTTTTCAAAGGAACTCTAGACTGATCGATGTTTGTTTATCTAGTTACCTTTGCACAAACTTTGAAATTAATATGCTGCAGTTTTAATCATCTTTTTTGATTTAACTGAGAAATGAAACAAATATCCAAAAAACAGATAAACAAAAAAATATATAAACAGGTGGTGGCTGTATGTTTTCCTGATCTCAATAATGGCTAAAAACACCAACATGTTAATATCTACGTTTCCTGAAGGCTCATTACATCTGATTTTCAAAGTAATTAGCCATTTAAGATGAATTCCCCTATGTCTGCTAGCTAGTTGCTCCATTGATCCATGACTCAATGTCGGTAAAGAAGTTAGGTGGTCATAACCATTCCCTCAACAACAATTGCAGAAGGTTAAGAGTCAATTATCTTAATGGTTATTGATATCTGGGTAACACTTTAAAATAAGGTACACAAATTTGAATTACCTACTAGAGAGCACCTAGAGCACTAATTAGGAACTAATGGGTAGTTAACCAGTACTTACTGGGGAACGGCCAGCCCAGCCTCATTATGGGATGACTGCTTACCTACCTGGGAACCCCAGAGTAACTAATCATGATTAATGGATAGTTACCAGGGAAACCAAAGAGGAACTACCGGTAATAAGAAAATAAGGCTGTGTCTGAATGTGCGCTATAACTCCTGTATAGAGCACTATATAGGGGTTAGGCCATTTAATATGAGGGTCTGAATGTCTAGTGGATGAAAAAGTCGTGGACTCAAAATTTTCCCCAATGCACTTAGAAAAGTAGCCTGAATGGACAATTACTACACAGGCTGATATTTACTAAAATATCAGCCTCTCCTCACAGAGCATTATGGGAGAACAAAGATGGTGCCGGCATAGTCTGGGGATTTAGAGTCATGTGACAAACAGTGGGAAAAAAGTAGTGATCATCTGTCCGAACGATCAGTTAACTGAGTTAACTATAAAGTCCACTATGTGGTCCCTGCTCTATATAGTTATTGACGTCTTAGGGTGGATATTTGGACAGAGCCTAAAGAGCAATTAACCAGTATTTATTAGAGGACAACTGGTTTGTTACGCAAAAATTAGAAATTTTAACTGCAGATACTGTATTTTTAGAGTAGAAATTTTCTCCATTCGTTTTGAATAAACCCTTAACCTGTGAAGCCACAGCTTAAGAAATAATATTTTACTTAATAATTACTTAATACCAAATTATTGCCTAGTAATTATTTTTATGGACATTGAGTCCATTTCTGATGGTCTTGTGTACCATAAAGTAAAGTGAATCATTATACTAAGGGGTTAATCTGGAAATAATTATTTAATCACAACCTGACCATTAACTGATAATTTTGTATACCTTTAGGTTTAGCAAAACTTCTCATTAGTTCCTGATTAGTTTCTTTGTGTTTCCAGGTAACTAAGCAGAAGTCCCATATTAAGGCTGGACTGGGTGTTCCACAGCAATTAATGATTAACTACCCTTTTTGTCCATTTTAGTTCTTTAGATGTTCTCTAGTGGTTAATCAAATTTAGTCTACTTTATTGTAAAGTGTTACAGATTTCGGATTCAAGCAAATCATTTGATGAAAAATTATTTAATCAAATATGTTTTCTTCTTGGTTTGCTAATTAAATTTGTAAATAAAAAATGAAAAAAAAAAAAAAAAGTGAATAAAGTTTATAAAGTGACATTATGAGAGGATAAAACATGAAACAACTTTCTCTTCGAATCTATTTTCACACATTTCACAATTAAAAAAACAAAACAACAAAGAAATTAATAAAAAAAAAAATTTTTGATAGAAAAAGGATATATTAAAAAAAAAAAATCAAGCATTTGTGATGCAGTTCAATGTTTAGTATTCTTGAGTTTGATTTTCAAAGTCTGATTTATTGCAAAGTAAGTTCAGAAGAGGATTAATGAATTCAAATACGGTTATGTTAGAAATCAAAAACTTTGTATGGATTTTAAGGCTTTAGTCGATGTACAGCAAGAATTGCAATTTTGGATCAGCAGACTGTTTCCTTGAACAAGCTTATCGGATCAAGGTTTAGTCAAACTGATGTTAATCATAACACTTCAAATATCCTAATACTTAAAAAAAAAAAAAAGAAAAACTAAAGTAGGCAATGAATCATAACTTCTGCTTAATTTAATGCCATTAAGAAGAACTTGAAGTGTTTATCAGTGTAGTCCCATTTGTATAAAGTTTGCCGAAAAGTCAGGTCCATTTTTTCTGCTTCCATATAAACTTAATTTTTATTTACTTAACTTTTTTTTAAGTTAAGCCATTTTTTCAATAGATATAGAGAAGGTAGTACTCACCATTATCCTTATCCTTGTTATGTGGAACTTTTTATGTGGAAGAAAAAAAACATATAAATGTAATAAAAGCATTCAGTTCTTATATCAGGATAATAAATGAGAGATTTTCCTACCTGGACAAAAACACATGTCTTTTGAAACTGGAAATGTGGAATAATTGTGACAAGATGAAATAAATGCAGAGTATTTCTATCACATTTAAATAAATGTTAAAAAATCAACAAGGCTTACCAACTTTCAGGGTAACCATCCCCATGTGTCCTTTACCAGCCATCTTTGGAATGATACAGGTGTAATTTCCTGCATCTTCTTTAGTTACATTAATCAGCTTGAGAGACATGTTACCATGGATTAATTCCTCATGGAAAAGAGATGTTCTGTTTCTGTATCTCTCATCTTGCGGTCCTGGATCATCTTTTTTACTTCTGTAAACATGCACATTAGAGTTGTTGAAACTCCATTCCACTGTTTGATCGGTCAGGCTGATGGGGGGCTCCACATGACATGGCAGGATAACATGATTGCCAACCTCTGCTGAGACTGGTTCCTCTGAGCCTATAATTTCTGTCTCATCTGCAACACCTATCAGAGTTACACCAACAAAGTCAATGCATTTGTGTAATGGGGAAATCTATCACATGACTTTATTTTCTAACCTGTTCAGTACTGCTTATTAATTTTGTTTTTGTTTTTATGTATGTAACCTGAAATGTATTTAAGTCTCTTCCTTCTATTTTCCCCAACATTCTCCCTTCTGGCCATTTTATTGTGAAGTTAGTCAAATATAAATTAAAACGTTTTATCATTTTAAGGATTTTGACCAATTTTTAACCGGGGTACAATACTGAAAGTTAAGTGGTATTACAATAAACTACAATGAATTTCTTGAGCAAATTTTTTCTCAGAATCAGCAACATGATATCATCTAACCAAATACGTCTTTAAATACAGACAGTCATTGGGAATAAAAAAGTTGCTCTTGAACAAAATAGACAAGGATTAATTTTATAAAGCTATTGAAAATCACCAACTTACCAACAGTGACGATAAATGAGCAACTTCTTTTTACATGTTTAGTGATAAAGTAACACTTGTATTCTCCGTTGTCATGGAGGTCCACCGAAAAGAGTTTCAGGGATAGATTTCCTGTTGTCAGTCCTTCATTAAAAAGGTAGATCTGTTCTTCATCTTCTACAAACGTATATTCTCCACTTTTATAATGGAGTAGAATTTTGTTTCTGAATTTCCACAGAATGGTTTTGGTTGAAGCGTCCACAGGTGGATCGAGGTAACATGGCAGAACGACATTGTCACCTGCTGTCACATCAATGTGGTTGGTTGGGCAGACTAAATAGGGTTCTGTGAAAAAAAAAATACTTATTATACAGAAAAACTTGAATTCTTTCAACAGTTTATTTAATTTGTTGCATAGAGGCAAAACAAACCAGTTTGGACTTTACTAATTATCTGTTTCTGTATATATTGTTCAGCCAACACAGTGCAGTTCTTTTGTTGGTGCTAAATACTGTTGCTGCATTGAGGCATTTTCCATCCATATAACTTCCCAGTTTGCTTACTGGTTCCTACAGGCTTACAGCTAGCCAATCACTTTAGGCATAATTTTCCTAAATTTAGACTTTAAAAACAGACTTTCTGAATTTGAACTATATATGTTTTTAATGGCCCTGCGATGGACTGGCGACTTGTCCAGGGTGTACCCCGCCTCTCGCCCGTAGACAGCTGGAGACACCAGCTGGAGGCACCAGCACCCCTCACGACCCCACTTGGGATAAGATGATGGAAAATTGAATAGATGGAGGTTTTCTATGCAGGGTTTTTTTGGATTGTTTTTTTTAGCTGCTTTATTCCCCTGTCTCCCAAACCTGTTTATGTATATTACATCTATCCTCAGTTTGCTTCAGCACTATCACAACTTTTACTCTCTGCTTGTCATTAAATCAATACATTTAGTTGAATCCACAATCAAATTAAAAATACTTTCCTTTTTGATAAAGCTTATAGTTAGAGTGGCTCAGGTTATCCTGAGCTATCCGTATAGTTATGCTGTTATAGGGTTTGACTGCTGGAAGACCAATTTTCATCATTCTACTTGATTATATCTCACTTTTCCCATCCTGCAGTATTTATTTGTTCAACCTCTAACTTTAAACCTTAAACTCCCTATTCTTCAGCTTGCAATACAGAAGAAGGAAGGCACGACCATGATAGACGATAATGTGAAGAGCAGTCTTTCTTGTTGATCTTCTTGAAAAGATTGCATTACCATCCATGCTTACTTCCGTAAACACAGAGCATGTTCGCGACTTATGCCGTCATTGCGTCCTGTACTGTGCATGTGGCACACTTTACCTTTATGAATGCATTTCACACGAGAGATCACAAGTTGCATATATTTGGAAATTTGAATGGCCATGCAAAACAATCAGATTTCACCAAATTTTAAAATGTAGCATTATGGCCTGCAGTGTCAACGTAACCTAAATGCTACCTTATAGTTAAAGAGTAGCAGTTTTGTTTTAATC